AACTGTCTCTAGGAGAGAGAGCTCAGCCAAGGGTAGAGGTCCTAAAACGAGACTGTGAACATGGGAAGCTTAGCAATTCGCCACTGTTTGGATCGAGAATTTTAGTGACCAATGGCTGGAAAGTCCATGTGATGGTAGGGAAATATGAATTTGTGCAATCTTCAAGTTTGTAAATCCAAGTCTTGGCACAAAAATATGTTTTATATTGAGAGAGAGAGAGAGAGAGAGAGAGAGAGAGAGAGAGAGAGAGCTAAGGATATGCTTTGTAGAACATGGTATGGTGAGGAGGGTTGCCTTGGCAGGCCCATGCTGAGGCAACTCTTCCCCCTGAGGGACCAGCCATAAGACAGGTATAGTGTAGAATAGAGTTTATTTAAGGCACAGGAAGGGGAGTTGAGAAGGGAGTAGAGACAGAGAAAAGCAAAAGACAGGAGGAGGTGGGGAGAGAGAGAGAGAGAGAGGAGAGCAAGAAGAGGGAGGGGAGGGGGAAGAAGAGGGGGAGGGGGAGGGGAGGGGAAGGGGGAGAGGAGGGGGAGGGGGAGGGGGAGAGGAGGAGAGATCAACCAGGAACACTGGAGGGGGCGGGTGGAAGGGAAGAGAGAGAGAGAAAAGGGTCAGGGAAAGAAGAAAGTCAGAGAGGGAAGGGTAAGAGAGAGCAAGGAAGGGTCAAATAGTCTCTTTTATATAGTAAGCCAGGACTACCTGGCTGTTGCCAGGTAACTGTTGGATGGGAGCCTAGAAGGAATACGAACAAGAACAGCTTGAGTAACACCACAAGACCCCATCTCAAAATAGAAACAAAACAAAATTTAAATATACTTGCTGGTCTTGATACCCAACACAACTTTCCAATGGTCCCTTTCAGATCTAGTATGTACATACCTTGACAGTCGGCTCAAGATACCCCAAGACCAAGTACTTAGCATAAAGGAGATTTGTTTGCCTCAGAGCAACAGAGGGAAGGAGTAAGGGACAAAGACAGGAGACAGATGAAGAAGGAGAAGGGGACGGGAACAAGGGAGAGGGGAGGGGTATTTGTCCCAGGGGACAAAGGACTGCCTTGGGATAGACAGGAGACAAGTCATGGCCCACAGGAAAATGGTGGTTTTTAAAGGTAAAGGGGGAAAACCCATGTTAAGATGAGGTGTTTAATTTTAATTGACATGTTAATTAGGCAAGTCAAAGGAGGCTTTTGATTGCTGAACTTCAACACTTTGATAGCTGGACCTTGGCAGTTAACCTCAGGAGGAGGAAGTGGGCAAATAAGGGAACAGACCTTGGGGGCTAGCCTTAGGAATGTAATCTAGTGGCTTTTAACAAGGCAGAGGGAATGGGGGAGAGGGAAAAGACCTGCCAGGGCCATGTCTGCTATGCTCAAGCTGGCTAGAGTCCCTGCACAGTACCTAGGCCCTGCAGCCTTTCACACTGGAGCCTTCCACCCACCCAAATCTGGGCACAAGTAGACGGCCTTTGTTGGTGTTTTTCCCCTCCCACTCCAGATCCGTCAGTCTCCTTCCTCAAGCACCTAGCCTGACATTTGTAAAGATGAGTAGATGTATATGCTTTTGGTTCCAGTGCTAGGGATCAAGTCTAGGACCATAAGCCTGCTGGCAGACCCCACCCTTTCTACCTTTTCATTTGAGGCGGTAGAGGCTTTCTGAATTACAAGTTCTAGGCTGGCCTTGAACTTGTTCTATAGCCTAGGCAGTCTTAGAACCTATGATCTTCCTACATTGGTCTCTACCAGACACACACACACACACTCCCAATCACAATATCCTATAAAACATAAAACATCACACAATTCTTTGGGATACATCCAGTATCCTCAGAATGTAGTAACTTCCTTCTAAATTCTTTCTAATCAGTTATTTTTTAGAGGTTGTGTATGATGGCACATATGTTTAATCCCAGCACTTGGGAGACAGAGGCAGGTAAATCTCTGTGAGTTCAAGGCTAGCCTGATCCACAGAATAAGTTCCAGGACAGCCAGGGCTACGTAGAGAAACCCTGTCTCAAAAACACAAAAACAAAACAAAAATGAAAAGTAGATTTTTTGGGTCACTTAAGGTGCATGCCTTTAATCGAAGCACTCAGGAAGCCAAGGCAGGAGAATCTTTTATGAGTTCAAAGTCAACCTGGTTGATGTGATGAGGCTCCAGGTTAGCCAAGGCGGCATAATGAGACCTTCTCTTAGTTCCTGGTTCTGGGGAATGGCTTTGTGGGTAAAGTGCTTGCTATAAACGTGAAGACCTAAGTGGGACCTTCAGCATCCACATGGAACACACTTCCAGCGCCCATCCCTGAGCTACACTCCTCAGCTCACTTAACTGAAAACAGTTTAACTGTTGCCTCATGTCTGAACTAATCTGGCTTTGCCTTCCACTCCATTTTTGTTGTTGCTGCTGCTGCTCCTGCTGTTATTATTACTGTTTTGTTTGTTTTGTTTTCCAGGAAGGGCATCATCACTGTGCAGCAGGCTTGCCTTGTAGCCTGGGCTCACTCGCTTCAGACGCTCTGGCTTCGTTTAGTGTTCTGATCTCTTGTGTGCTGGGATTCTACATTCCACCTCCACCGTGCCCAGCCAACCCTCCCTCTAATAATGGGTCTGAGTATCACAGAAAAGAGATTCAGAAGTTATGACTGTTCTCTGTAGATTCCACAAACTTGTTTGGCAGGTTGGACTGTGGGACTCAGGATCCTTTGGGATTTCTTCCCTAGTGGGAACTGGACACATCCTCTTCCTTGGAAGCAATCAAACATGAGTTTAGATACTGCTGGAAGGGACTTGGCAGGTATAATCAAAGCTCCAAATGTGTAAATTGCTCAACAGGAAGTCCTGGTTGGGCCTCACTCTGTAAAGCTCTTTTGGCAAGAGGAAGATCAAAGTAACCTCGCTTGTGAGAGAGTAGGAGGCAGAAGGGGAAATGCCAGAAAATCTGAGACAAACATAACCCTTGGGACTTTGACCCCACCAAAACCAAGACCCCTAAATATAAATCCCTCACCGAGGGGCAGTCCTGACACATCATGTTGATGTGGTCCCTCCAACATGTAACTCGTGCCCAGAATACATCTATAAAGTCAAGATGTTCAATGCTTCCTACATCCAGTGCCTTTGCTGCCCTGTAGTGGTCACCTTCGATCCAACACACCTTCAATCCAACACAGAGCCCTGAGCAGCCCCAGCTTCTAGAAGCTGCTAGTGGATAGAGAGAGGGGACATTATGAGTGCAATGGAAAACAAGCAGATAGCAAGAAGGTTCTGGAGAACTGAGTTGGAGACTGCAGGCAGCAAGAAGCAAGTTCTAGAGAACGTACAGAACTGCAGACCTACAGCCAAGACCCTACTGCTCAGTTTCTAGTTTTAGGAGAGGCAGCCAAAGCAGGGCAGAAGGAGAGGGAGTAGGTGATCTTCCTAGAGAAAACATGGAGACTCTGCTGTGCTCATCCCTCCCTACCCGCCCCCTCCTGTCTCAGCCTCCAAAAGCCCAGAAGAGAAGAGCTTGTCGGTAGAGCAGAGGTAGGAGAGAGCATTTGAGAGGGTGGAAAGGGAGGGGAGGGTATGTGGTGCTCTCTTGGCTGAAGGCTCTGGCTATAGGACCTGGGCAAGGTAAAAAGGAGAGACCTAGGTACTAGCACTGCAAGGGCTGGGTGTCCTAGAAGGTTGACCTTGAACTTGCTTCAATTCCCCGGTCTCTCTAGCTCTGCTTCCAGAGTGCTAGGATTACAGGCACAGGCCACCACACCCAGCAAGAAGTGATTTTTATGGCAGAAAATAATAAAACCCATACACAAAATACATCCTAACATTGAGAACCCAGAGGTTCTCAAACTTCGGTGCATGTCGGAATCACCCAGAGAGCTTACTCACACTCTCCAGCGCCTCTGCGAGTTTCTGAGTCGGTTACCTGTGGTGTGAGGCTCAGGACTGCCTTTCTACCCCGGTGCAGTGGTGTGTACACCTATAACGTTAGCACTTGGAAGGCTGCTGAAGCAGGAGGATCCAAAGTTTGATTTGAGCCCAGGCTACCTACTGAGAACCTGTGCACCCTGCTCCCATACTCCTAAAAAAAAAGTGTGCTTCTAATAAAGTCACTGAGGAGGACACATTTCTTTACCAAATAATAAGTCCACAGAGGCCTGCTCGCTCTACTTAACAGCATATGTTGTTAACAAATGTGCACAGTGTCCTCAGGAGGGTGGACCGACTTGTCTGGTGACTATGAGAATATGGTATTAACCTCAGCTGCTGGCGAACGCAATGGAGCAGGTTGGATTTAAGGCCCCAAATCACAGGAAATCAGTCTGGGGCAGCACCGGGTAGGACACCCATAAAGCAGCTACCATTCCTCTGTGTAGTCATACACCTGCATCCTGCTTTGCTCTGGTGTTCCATCCAGTGTGAGACCACACCCAGCGCAAACAAAAGATTCTACCATCAGAGAGCGATTGGGGTCACAGGCCAGTAGGAGACTGGAAATAAATTCAATGAAATGAGGTTCTGGTGCTGATGATAAAAAGAATGGCATTGTATTAATTTAGTTTTTATAAATACCCATGCTATCTGTAATTGCTGCAGAGTGGGAATCTGAACTTCTTGTAACTCCAAAGAGAATGGGGGCTACTTTATATCCAAAGCACTTCATCATGAACCTCCCCACGTCTCTATCTTTGTCTCTCTGTGTCTCCCTGTGTCTCTGTGTCTCCCTGTGTCTCTGTGTCTCTGAGTCTCCCTGTGTCTCTGTGTATGTTTTTTTCTCTCCCTCATTCCCTCGTTCCCCATCTCCTCTCCTCCCTCCCCACGTCACTCTCCTCTTTGTAGACAGGAACTTGTGTACCCCAGGCTGACCTTGAACTCTAGACTGTAGCCAAGACTGACTTTGAATTTTTGATTCTCCTGCCTCTGCCTCCCAAGTTCTGGGATTATAAATGTGTGAGACTACATCAGCTACTCCATGAGTGTGTTCTCTGAGTTAGAACCTCACGTGACTATTTCACACAGATGAACTAGTGATTTGGAAGATACGACTTTCAGAATAAGGGATTGCCACAAACGGCAAGGTAAGGATGAATTTTAAACACTGTAGGCTGATGAGGTAGGGACCAGATGAAACTTTAGCACGCTGATTGACAGTCCTCTTAACGTCTCATTTTTCATGTATGAGCCTTTTAAGAATCTTAGTTGATAATGTCAGTAGCTGATGCACAAAGCCCACTGACTCTGGATAGTTTTGACAAACATTGGTTTGGGGGTTTTTATTTACTGTGTCCCTTTCATGAGGCCATAGAGTTCCTTTTATATCATATATCCCCCAAGTGGTGACTTTACCCTTAATGTCTCTTCTAATTAGAATAAGAGAATGGTTTGTTTTTCATTATTCATCCTGTGAATCTCTGAGTGTGTTTTTTAAAAATTCTGCCTCATCCACTATTCAAGATGATTGCACGGATGCAGGCAATTTCGATGGAATTGATTTAAATGAAATTTATTTAAATTTAGATTACCACTCAGGAAGAGGGGGAGGGAATGTAATAAGTTTGACTGTGGCTTCCTATCTCTTATTTAATTTAGTCATCTTATGTTATCTGATCATAAATAAACAGCTTCATTTTTAGAAGACTATACTATTCATTTCAAGTGCTGATCTGTTTAAATAATTTATCAAGTTATTTCTGCTGTTTAATCAGGAGAATGAAGCAGTTAAAACAAATAGTTGTGAGTTCATTGAGAGATTTAATCACTTCTGAGTCAACAGGCTTTTATTTTATTTGGCATATTTTATGATTATGTTAATATATGAACCAATACACAAAAAAATAGTGACACACAAATGTCTTGTTTGATTAAGATAAAACATACAGAAAAAAATTAAGAACACTCAAATACGCTGCTATTAATATACCTTTAGACAGATCTTCCTCCTCTATCCCCCGCCTCCTTGGTCACTGTTCGGTATGTTAATGCATCTTCACATTTGCAACTATTCCTTTGCAGAAACCGACGTAGGAAATGCGATGTGTATTCCTGCAGAATCTAAAAGCGACTAAAAGGTTAGATTTGTGTGTGCCCCACACTTCCCTCAGCTACCACCTCCCAGCCTCTGGACATCTGTCTTTCCACCACCCTCCATTTCCAGCAACACTGTCCAGCATCTATAGCTCCTTACGTCCAGGGCAGTGTCCTGAGACCATTGCAAGAGTGCCAGTCTCTGCCTTGCCTCCTCCAGTGCTTCACAGACAAAAGGCATTGTCACAGCTTTCTGGAAAGGCTGCAGGAGACAAAAAAAAAAAAAATTCTGGTCCCTTCCTGTAAGGTATACAAATATGTCATTGTAGGCTAAGAATTATCATTTAAGAGATGGAAGAGATGGTTCGTGGTTAGGAGCACTAACTGCTCTCCCAAAGAACCCAGGTATGATTTCCCAGGACCCACCTGGTGGCTCTCAACTGTCTGTAACTCCAGATCCAATGCCTTCTTCTAGACTCTCTGGGCAGACATGCAAGTGGTACAGGGACATTCATGTAGCAAAATACCCATATACATAAAAAATAAAGTATAATATACTCTTTAATTTAGAACATATACTTAAAAATTATTAATTTTTTTCTTTTGAGACAGGCTTTCACTTTGTAGCCCCAGCTGGCCTGGAACTTAGTTTGTAGACCAGGTTGTCCTAGAACTCACAGAGATCCACCTGCCTGTGTCTCCCGAGTGCTGAGATTAAAGGCATGCACTACCATACTGGCCTTAGTTTGGTTTTTTTTTTTTTTTTTTTTTTTGAAACAGGGTTTTGGTATATAGCCCAAGCTGGTCTTGAGCTTGTTATAAAGTCAGAGTTGCCTTTGAACTCCAGATCCTCCTGCCTTAACTATCAAGTCCTGAGATGACAAGTGAGTACCACTAAGCCTGGGATGACTTTGTGACCCTTCAGTTTCATGTCAGCATTTTTTAGATGAAGGGACCATGAGGTGGTCATGTCAAGCTACAAGTCCTTGTTCTCAGGGTTAATTAGCAGAGCTGAGAGCAGAACAGGAAGTCTAGAAATCTACTCTGTTGTGATATATATACATGCACATGCACATACATGTGTATGTCACAGAGAAGCCCCCTTTCATGGCAGTCACTGGCATTGTATTATGTAGGGTCTAGAACATGAAGACATACAGATCTACAGCAGCATGTGCTAGGGACAGAGCCTGGCTCTAGACCTTCAATGTCAGATCTTGTCTTCTCCACCTACTAGCCTCTGACCTTGGGGAAGTTGTTTCACCCATGAAGCCATGACTAACCTGGTTACAATGTATGAACGTGCTGGCAGTGTCCTGCTCTGACAGAGGGACAGTGTCCTGCTCTGACAGAGGGAAACTGGTATTAGATAAGTATTAGGAAACATTTATGCGTTTTGGTGCTCAATTATTGTTAACTATTGTTTCTGAAAGAGACACTGTGGAAATCTAATCTACTTTAGTTTCCAGTTTTGCAAGATTTGTAGTACTGGGGATGTCTATATCTTGTATTCTTCTTAAAGTCCTTCCAGCCTTAAAACCACGAGAGATCAGAATTCTATTTCTGACCCAACCCTCTGCCTCTTGGGCCAGGGGCCTACTCCTAACTCTCACTCAGAGGAGGGAGCTTTGGGCAAGGTTCATCCTTAGATATATACCCCATGTTCAGCCAGTGTCTAGAAAAGAACTATTTGTAAAAGGTGAACAATGCTATATCTATCTGTAGAATTTTGGTATAGAAGTGGGTCAGAGGTCATCATCCAGCTGGCCTTGAATTGAAACTGCATTTTCTATTGGAAATGATAGTGATGAAAGGGTCTGGTTACTCGCCCCATCCCCAGCCTCGACCCCTAGCCACTCCTTGAAGTTATTATTGAATTAAGATATCAGAGGCTCAGGGAGGAGGGACTGTCTCAAAACAAAATCCAAACAAAAGATAACACTAACAGAAATCTGCATTTACCGATACCATCACTAGGACGAAAACCCCAACTGATACCATGATACTGTGGGGGAAGGAATCTCAAAAGGGGACTTCCACTCCAGTGTGGTGGCATAGAACTGTAATCACAGCTTTTGGGGAGGTTTAAGGCTGGCTGGGTTACATAGACAAAAAAGTCTACACTGTGATGATCATGTAGAAGATATATTCAATGGCCAGGTGTGATGGTTCACACCTTTGATCAGAGGCAGGTGATTCTCTGTCAGTTACAAGCCAGCCTGATCTCCATAATGGGTGACAGGACAGCCAGAGCTACACAGACCCTGTCACAACAAAACAAAACAAAGCAGGTGTGTCAGTTCCTCAAATGAAGACAACTTGACCTCAGACTTCCCCAGAGTTTAGAAGACAATATTCTAAAGTGTATGTTTGCCTCCTTCTTGTCACCAGCTTTAATCTTCTCAAATATTGGTTCAGCCATAATCTGATGAAGCACTTAGGCCAGCAACTCTAGAGTCACAGTCACATGATGTCCTTTAGCTTCCCCCCCATTCCTCTCACTGTTCCTCCCCCAGTGCTTCACAGTGGTTTTAGATTAATGAGATAATGTCTCTCAGCCGTTTTACATCTCAACATGAAATTCTCATGCAAGAGCTCTTGTTTCTAATCCAGAGTAACCTGCCCAAGGTCTGTGCTGACCCTTGGTTGATGATGGAAAGTCTGCACTTCCTGAGCTTTTAATCGTCCTCTTTTTAGGAGGCCGATGAGTTTTCCCTTCACCTGAGCTGAGAATTATCCATGTTCCTTGTTGACTGGCTCTTCTTCCTCTGCACAGGAACAATCCTCTAATCTGTTCTTTCTCATTTATTTTTCTTCCTATATGCACACTGGTCGGACTGGTCTTGGCCTCCGGAGACAACAGACTGCAGAAGCCTTTGCACCCCTTGCTCAACCATTGCCCCAGGGACTAAGTGTGTTTGGGACTCTCTCTTGCTAGACTTTCCCCTCATACCATTTCAGAAAATCACTTGTATTCTCGAATTTTTTTTTTTAAATCTATTTCTTTTCCTCTTTCAAAATGCCCACAGTGTCTATTAGGATGCCAGATCGCTTTCTTCACATTGCTTCACGGAGCAGAAGTGTGTCTTTAGTCATCATGACTAGCTGCCTTTGCAAGCTCAGTGTCATTTCTCTGCTTTGATTGAGGTATTTTCTATCTGCACAGCCCTGAAGTAGCTTTGATTTACCTTTGTCTGTTGCTTTTGAGAGTATCTGCTAATTTAATTAATATTATCAAAATGATTCTTGGGAGAGAGCTTTATTCTCCTCTTTTGTTTATGACGCTGGGATGATTAGCTCTGGATGACAGGCATAATAGCAGTGGTGGCATTTCCTAATCTTCCCGCTTCTGCCCACATATGTTTACACACACACCCATCTGTGATGTCTCAGAATTCATCACTGCTCCTGTAGTCTAGAGAGAATGCAGGGGACTTTTCTCCAAGCTTTTGACAAAGGGACCAAAGAAACCAGCTGTTGAACACACACACACACACACACACACACACACACACACAGAGAGAGAAAAAAGATTTCTGACGAAAGGAAGTTACTGTTTATCAACAAGGCACCTCTGTGGGCCGAATTCTTTACTGGACTATCCACTCCAAACAATCCTGAGGCCTGGGAGATCTGGTTTAGCAGTAGAACACTTCTCCAGCATATGCAAAGCCATGGATTTTATCCTCAGCATCAAAAAAATCAAAGGTCTATACATTTTAGTTCTTTGTTTTGCTTTGCTTTTTAAGACAGAGCCTCTCTATATAGTCCTGGCTGTTCTGGAACTCACTTTAGACAAGCTGGTCTCTTAACTGACAGAGAGCCCCCTGCCTCTGCCTCCCAGGCAGCTGAGATTAAAGTCATCTGCCCCCAAGCTGGGCCTGGGTCTTTAATAAAGTGAATGTCAGCCATGCTCTTTCCAGTCTGCATGTTTCTTCTCTTTGCTTGGTCATTCGGTGGCTACCCTCGTGACTCAGTGGATTTCTCAAGCCTTTCATAAAAATATTGTGCTGCCTGTCATGCTGGGATCATAGACTGAGGGAACCCAAAGAATCGAATGTCTGGCCTAAACTTAAAGTTCTGCCCGTGAGAAACTTCAGTCTCCAGCAGAACAGGGAACTACTAGTTCTCCTGTGCAAAGGAAGTGTGTTCTATGAGAGCACCAATTTTAAGTTTGTACTGGCTGGTTTTGTGACAATTTGGCACAAGCTAGAGTCATAGGAGGAGAAGGAACCTCAGTTGAGGAAAAGCCTCCATGAGGTCCAGCTGTAAGGCATTTTCTCAATTAGTGATCAAGGGGGGAGGGCCCAGCCCATTGTGGGTGGTGCCATCCCTTGGCCGGTGGTCCTGGGGTCTCTAAGATAGCAAGCTGTGCAAGCCATGGGGAGCAAGCCAGTAAGCAACACCCCTCCATGGCCTCTGTGTCAGCTCCTGCCTTCAGGATCCTTCCTTGCTTGAGTTCCTGTCCTGACTTCCTTCAATAATGAACAACAATATGGAAGTGTAAGCCAAATAAAGCCCCTTCTCCCCAACTTGCTTTTTGGTCATGGTGCTTCATCATAGGAATAAAAACCCTAAAAAGATAAGTTGACATTGTACACACACACATATACACACACTACACAATATATTTTGTTTTATTATTTTCTGATATAAAAATCATCTTTTGTTGGTGTGGTAGCATGTGCTAGTAATCTTTGCACTCTGGAAGCAGAGTTAGAGAGACAGGGGGATTGACATAAGTTCAAGGTCAACCCGGTGTACATTGAATTCAAGGCCAGCCAGGGACCATATGGTAAAACCCTGTCCTCTGCACCTCCAGATAAAGTTTTGGTTAGCCAAGAATGGTAGGTAGTTCATGCCTGTAATCCACAATGGGGATGCTGAGACAGATAGATCACTGTAAGTTGAAGGCCAGCCTGGGCTACATAGTAAATTTTAGGATAGCCTAAGCTACAAAGAACAACTTGGTCTCAAAAACCAGAAACCCCTCATAATTCTTATCTCTGCCTAAGTACTTCTCCTTCCAAAGAAAACTTGGAAAAGAATAAACACAAAGACAGACGGTCCCAGCCAAAGTTCCCTTCAAGAGGAAAGTCAATGAGGGCCAACAGCTAGCCATGGGGTAGAGTGGCAGCTCAAGGTGTCTTGGACTCCTTTCTCTTCTAACCAGTGTAAGGCACAGGCCACTGTAGTCTCATCTGCTCGTGACTTCGAGCCCATCTTTGGAGCAGCCTGCCTCTGAAGACAGCTGATTCTAGTCCTTGCTGGCTCACAGTCCAATCCTGCCACTGTATCTGCTGGCCTGGCACCATGGAAATCTGACAAGCCTGCCTGCCACCCGCTGACAGATGGGCTTTTCTCTCTCTCTCCCTTCCTTTGTTACAGTCAGAAAGAGGCTGGGAGGAGAAGGAATCTGCAAGCATAGAGGGACCCTGTACACGGAGGGCTTGTGAAACTCACTATGGAGGAAAACAATACTGCGGGGGGGGGGGGGTCCTTTTCAGTGGTGCTGCTGCTGGTGTGACAATCTAAATAGTGCTGTTTCCCTGCTCTCTCTGGGCTTGGGTTCCTCTCTTGCATAATGCACACACCAAGTTCTTTGTGCCATTGATACCAGAGAGACCATGGCTATCTCAGCTTGGAGGGCCCTGGGGCTCTCTTATTTGTAAGTCAAGTAGAGACTCCATGGCAAAGACACATTTTTTTTAATCTTATATTTTTATTGCTAAACCAATATTATCAATGTTAGAGGCTAATTGTATTTTACTTTTGGAAACAAAGCCTCGCTGAGTAGCCCAGGCTGGCCTGGAATTTACTGTGTAGCTCATGCTGGCTCAAGTATGTGATGTTCCTGCCTCCGGATTACAAGTACAAGGAACGTTAGAGTAATAGCTGAGATTTGATGTACCAGAAGGTCCAGGCCTACAGGTGAATTCTCACATCTATAAGCTTTTGTTGTGCAAACCTTGTTCCTTGATTTAAAACTATTGGTTAAATAAAAGTGGCTACAGCTTTTTACTGGAAGGATTAGAGTGTAGGTGGGTTTTGAGTTACCTAGCTGGGGATGGAGAAGAGAGAGAAGAGAGGAAAGACCACGGGGAGAAGGAAGAAGAACAAGAAGAGAGGAGGAAGCTACAATGAGGGGAGCTGGACCATGAGCATGTGGCCAGGAGAAACAGCAAGTATCTGGGGTACACTGCTGGGGAGGCAGTCAGGCCAGCAGTTAGAAGAGTAGATTAGGGGTTACCACCCCCCGCCCCAGTAATTGTCAAAGCCAAGTAAAATAATCATAGTCTGAGTCTCATTTATTTGTAAGCTATTGGGGGATGAGCTTAAATTGGTTGATCTACAGATTTAACTTAGTGATAAACTGTAATAATGGGAGTATTTCTTTGGAGGAAGCCATACTTTCAGTTCCAAACTCTTAGAATAAATCAGACACTGAAAAGAATCTTGGAATGGAATCTGTTTAAAAATAGACCAATATGCAAAGCTAGCATGCAAAACTAACTGAACAGCAAATATGTAAGAAACAGTGAAGACTCGGGGTAAAGCTGTCGATTCCTGAAGGGATTTGATGGTAATAACCGAAACTGCCATACTTACATCACCTAATGTCTTTACTGCAGTATCCTCACCTGTCAAACTGGAGCACAGTAGAAATGATGGCTGAGGGGCTGGGGACACAGCCTGGGAGTGGAAGCATGGAGACCTATCTCTGATGCTCAGCAGCCATGTTAAAAACCAGACGTGGTGGCCTTTGCCTGTCATCCAGCACCATCCAGGCAAAGAGAACAGGATTCCTGGGGCTCACTGTCCAGACAGCCTCCGTACCCAATATGAGGCTTGTATCACAAGATAAAATGGAAGCTTAATCGAAGCACTACAGAGGCAGAGGCTGGTAAATCTCTGAGTTTGAGACCAGCCTGGACTACAGAGTGAGTTCCAGGACAGCCAGGGAAAGACAGAGAAACCCTGTCTTCAGACAAAACAAAAAAAGTAAGATGGAGAGCAATTGAGAAAGACACTTGTCATTGATCTCTGGCCTCTACACACAGACACACACACATGAACACACACACACTCTGTTCCCTTACATCTGTACACATGTGCACACACACATGAACACATACACACTGTTCCCTTACATCTGCATACATACATGTGCACACAGACATTCATACACATACAATAGCAATAATGACTAAATTGTCTTGACAGTGGCAACACTTGACTCACCTATACAAAGTTCCCAATACTTGACAGAGATGTAGGCAGAGACAGAGAAATGGAGGGGGTGGGGTAGAGTGAGGAAAATAAATAAATAAATAAATAGTAGAAATATTGCTAGCTGCTTATTCTTGTGTTATATAAATTGTATATATGTGTGGTATTGTTAGGTTTTATTTGTTTGTGTGGGACAGGGTCTCACTATGTAGACCAGACTGGTCTTGAACTCACAGATATCTATCTGCCTCTACTTCCTAAGTGCTGGGATTAAAAGTGTGTTCTACCATAACAGGCAAAACCACTACACTAGATACAGCTTTCCATAGATGGCAGATGCTAGCACTTGATCTCCTCAACTCTAGCAGGTAGATATTGTCGTTACTACTGGACCTCTTTTAGAGAGTTGAGAAACTGAGTCACAGGAAAATCAAGCAACTTGTTCAGTGGTGTATAATATATATGTTTATATATGTATGTATCTATGTGTGCATGTATGTATATATGTATGTATATATGTATGTGTATGTATACATGTATACACATGTATATGAGTATACATATATATTAAACATGAAATGTTTTCTTATGGCTTTTCCAACATCGTTAGTGCTATTTATCCTTCTCTCCTTCCTCTGTATAGCCCTCCCTCCCTCTCCACTTTAAAGTCTGCTTTGCCATTTATTCTTTTTCCTTTCATAGTACCTCCTTAATAATTAGGGAATTGAAACTAAAAACTCCAACATCTTACCCCTTTCAGCAGCTAAGACCAAGAAACATCTGACAACAAATGCTGGCAAGGACATGGGGAAGAAAACGGACTCACTCCTGATGGGAGTGCCAACTGCTCTAGCCATTGTTGAAACCATGTGGAGAATTCTCAAAAGCTGAAAGTAGATCTACCATATGGTCCAGCTATACCACCCATTGGCCCATACTCAAAGGACTCGACATCCTACTTCACAGATAATGACCAGCCATGTTCATTTGATGTTCTATTCACAGTAGCTCGGAATGGGAGATACCCTAAATATCCTTCCACCTGAAATGACTAAGGTCCTGTCATCTTGATCTGAGTCCATTTTGTGCAAGCTTAGTCTGTTCTCAGCCCTCTATCCTCTTCCCTTCAACAGTCACCATTGCCTTGGCAACACATTTGGGATTCCCATGGCTTTGACCATTGTCCAGATGTATTAACCAAAATAAATAAGTAAAGTAAAACAATGAAAAAAAAAAGTCAAAATAGTTGGCATATTATGCATAAAATAACCACCATGCTCTGCTAGAAACAAATGTTTCAGTGTTACTCTGATTCTCCTCTCACTTTGATGTAAACTATGTTCTTTGTGGGTTTTCCTTTGAAATTCTGCATCCATCCTTAAGTTTGGGCATCAAGTGACTTCAGAGGCACAAGCCTGCTGTTGGTCTGACCATCAATATAAAGGATTTAAACCTTTTAGTTAGCTTAATCAGCATGGGTGTCAGTTACCATCTCATGTGGATAATGAAAATGTGGTACATATACACTATGGAACACTATTTAGCTGTAAAGAAAAATAGGGAAATGGACCGAACTAGAAAATATTATCCTGAGTGAGGTAACCCAGACCTAGAAAGACAAATACCACATTCTCAATAATTTGTGGTCTTAGCTCTGAAGTTTTACTGCTGTTTCTTTCTTTGTTGTTATTGTTGTTCCTTAGATGGGCATATGGAACTTGGACTCACTGCAGAAAACAAGAAATTAGAGAGGGAGCCGGATGCTGGGGAGAAGGTTTTCTAGAGGGGACAGGAGAACACAGGTGGTGTCAGGATACACTTCTGAAAAAAAGAAAAGAAAGAAAAACAACTGAACTACTGGAGAGAGGCAGAGCAATCGGTGGAGGAAGTTTCAGCAAAGTAGAATTTGACTGGATACTGGTGGTATTGTCTTCACACAGGGCTGGGTCAAGGGCTGCCTGAGTGGCTTTTTGTCAAGAAGAGTATAGAAAAGAGGTCTGGGTTGGAGAGACACTTAGTGAGCTGTTAAGAGCACTTGTTGCTTTTGCAGAGTTTGGCTCCAAGCATCCACATCAGGCAGCACAAGATCTGTGAGGTTCTAGCCTGGGCTACAAAGTGAAACTTTGTCTCAAAAGAAAAAAACAAAACGAAACAAAACAAACAAAACAAAACCCGTACCAGTATCAGGTGGCTGGTTAAACTAGATAACCTGTACTGCACTTTGTCTGTAGGATTCTATGACTCTAGGCCAGGACCCTTTGTTTTATAAACTGTAAACTTTTGTTCCCCTTAGTGTCGGGTTCTGCCTACTAACTTCACTGCTGCCATTCCCTTCAATTATCTGAAGCATTTGCCCATGAGAACATGACTTTGTAGTTTGCGTAAGTCTTTGTTAGTCTGCGTGTTTTAATAGTCGAGGTGTTATTACACCTGAGTGTTATGAGGGTAGGTGGGGAGACTGGAAAAGAAGCAGGGAGGGACAGTATCGTGCTGCTGTGTGTGGTCCACCTGTCTGGCAGGGAGCCAGCCACAGGACTACACTGTAAAGGCCAGCGTGTTTGTCTGAGCCTGGACAGCACACAAAATTGTCACTTTAGACTTTAGGAGCACACTGAAAAATTGTGGGATTGGGCTGTGGACACAAGCTGCGTCCACACATATCAACGTAATTTGCATGTGACTCAGAGGAGTTCCAGTGACTTTCCTGCTGCGGAGGGTAATTGCCTCCTCGAAGGAGCTTACAGTTGTGCCTAAACACTGGGAAACTATTCATGACACACCTGATGGCAAAATTTCCCTTCCCCTTGGCTCTCTGTCCAGGTACTTGCAGTGTGTGCGTGTGGGCTGCAGAAGTTTCCTGTCTGGCCTCTTCCTCAATTCTTTGCCAACTTACTATTTGTTTAACTAATACTTTTTTTTAGATTTATTTATTTATTTTACTTTGTGTGTATAAATATTTTGCCTGCAAGTATACATGTGCACCATGTATGTGCCTGGTACTCACGGAGGTCAGAAGAAGGTGTCAGATTCCATGGAATTGGGGTTATGTGTGGTTATGAATCCCCATGTGGATGCTGGGAATTGAACCCAGGTCCTCTGAAAGAGCAGCAAGTGCTTTTAACTACTGAACTACCTCTCCAGTCCCTCCAACTTATTTTTTATTTATGTAGTTTTACTTTAGTTTTGTTTTTCATTTTCCTTTCTTTGCTTTTCTTTTTTTCTTTCTTCCTTTCTCTCTTTTCTTTCTTTCTTTTTTTCTGAGACAGGGTCTTTCTGTGTAGCCCTGGCTGTCCTGTAACTTACTATGTAGACCAGGCTGGCCTCGAACTAATAGAGATCCATGTCTCTAGCTGCTAAGTGCTGAGATTAAAGGTATATTCTGCCACACCCAGATTTTTTCTGTCTGTCTGTCTGTCTGTCTGTCTGTCTGCCTTTCTATCTTGTTGGGAGCTGGTGGTAGAGAGGATAAAGAAGCTGCCCTTTTGCCATACAGAGGTCAGAGGACAACTTGAGGGAGTACATTCCCTCCTTCCACCATGTGGCTTCTGGGGATCAAACTCAGGGTGTTAAGTTTTGCCACAAGGACTTTTCCCTGTTGAGCTATCTTACTGACCCTCTTTTTTCTTCTGTGAGACAGAGTTCTCACTGAACCTGGAGCTCGCTGACTCTGTTGGGCATAAGCCCCAGGAATTCTTTTTCTCCTGACACTACTTTCCTAGCAGTGTGAGTATAGATGAAGTCACTATCCCTGGAATTTTATGTGGGGACTGAGGATCTGAACTCAGGTCCAGGTGCTTCTGCGACAAGCACGTCACTGTCTGGGCCATCTCCTAACCCTTAGGAGACCCTTGTTTTATCAGTATGGATTTTGTACAAGATGGATGGATAGTACATAATTTCACACAGACTCCATATCACTTCTTTAGGGCTGACGGGATGGTACAGTTGACTCCATTACCATGAACTGAGAGTGCATCTGGCTGTCATGTGTACCAGACTGGCTCAGAGAGTCAGTGCCTAGGAAACAGTTGCTTCTTGGTTATATGCTTTTGTCTTGGTCTAATGTTTTACAGGGTTGTTAATGTGTAGTTACTATGGAGATAGATGAAAATAAGCACGGGATGTTTTAGATCAAATTGTTAGCAAATTTCTTATATAAAAATAGGTTGTAGAGTCTGGAGAGATGGCTCAAGAATTAGGGTTCTATATTACTTTTGCAGAGGACTGGAGTTATAATCACCTGCCACTCCAGGTGCAGAGGGTTTGAGGCCTTTTTCCGACCTCTGAGGGCATCTGAATTCATGTGCACATACCCTGTCTCCATCACATGCAAATGCACATAATTACAAAATGAAACATGGATTTTAAAAGATAGGATATAGAGTCAACAAGAAGTTCAGGTGAAAGCTTTCAAAACAGAAGTTGATTTAAGACATGACGCAGTGAGGAGTTAGAGGAGCAGTCAGGAATGCTGAACAGCGTCCCAAAATGCTTTTATTCTACAACTTTATGTTGTTGTTTTGTTTTGAGACAGCATCACATGTCGCCCAAGTGGCCTTAGATACTCTTGTGGCTGAGGACAACCCTGAACGACAACTACTTCTGCCTCCTAAGTGCTGGAATTACAGGTGTTTCCACACTCCTGTCCCCTCCCTGGCCCATCTTAAGATGAGCCATTTTCTAAGGACACTGAGTCACATCACTGGAATGCACAGCATCCCTTACCAGAGAAATGCTATCTTTTCCTTTGGTGGGATTGGACCATTTTCTTAGTAACCATTCTCTTAAAACAACAGTGGTTACATGTTTGCACCTATGCCTGATGCTGTTTCTCATGCAAACAGATTGCTTCTATGTACTTGTTCTGTGATTAAGTTAGTGATACTGTAACTCAGATTTAAGACATGAAAGGATGCTGCTTTGCTTTGAATAAATTAAGATTTGCTTTGTTAAACAACTATGGGCAAACACCCAGAGCGGTGTGCTTTTGGAAACTTCAAAGAGGGTTAGCTGGCTGTAGGTGATTATAAGCGTCTTTATGCTTGTGTTATTCATAAGGAACCCAGTAGGATGACAGGGCCCACAGTCACTGGGTAACTTGACCCAGAACCCTTGAGACGCCAGTGACAACAGGAGGCCCTACAGTCTTGGCTTTGTTAGAATGTAAGCGACATTGCCAGAAGGCACATGTGTTATTTACATACATTAAATAAATATTGAAAGATAGCTTAGGCTAAAAATACTCAAAGTAAGCTGGTAGCACTGGATACTGAAAGAATGAACTCATAGCGTGGTCATTCAAAGCAAAAATTCTTTTTTATCATGTCTGCGTAAGATTCGATCTTTAAAGCAACAGGATCCAATATGATTCCAAAGGGAGGCGACATTAGGTTTGGCTGAGCAGTGACAGATGTGTATGATAGCCAAGTACATATCTCGATTTACTAAATTACTCTCTTAAAAATGTATACTCTGCTCCATGTGAGAGACTGTACAGTCGTGGGTGTTAAATTTGAGACTCACTTTAACAAATTCTACTTTAACTTTTTTTTTCTTACGGCAACAGGAGGTTTGTTATGAGATTGGCTCTCCTAAGAATGTTGAAGCCACACATTCCCTAAGCTATGAGAGACACAAAGTCTCACTAATGTGACTGCCTAACACGAGCTGAAAAGGACCAAACGAGACATTGCTGGAGTAGATGGGAACACTCAGGAGGCCTTGGCCACTCACAGAGATCTACAGGCAACCAAGGAACGCTGAGAACAGGAGAAATAGTCTTCCCCAGGGAGGAGCACACCGATTGTCTATCCAACACCAAATGTCAGCCCTGAAAGCATACACAGAAGTGGCAATATACAGATTGAGCAGGTTACACTTATGTATTAGGAATATATATGTTCATGTATATGTGTCTGTGTATAGGTGTGTGTATATATGTGTATGCTACATATTATACATGGGCATATGGAATCTTTTTTTTTAAATGAGCCAAACATGCCGGTACATGTTGTTAATCTCAGTTCTTGGGAGGCTGAAGGCAAAGGCTTTTGGGATAGGGGCTACCCTGGGCTACGTAGTAAGACCCGCCCCCACCCCGCCCTGGTCTTAAAAAACCAAATTACACAAACAA